GAAATACATGCTATTTATTCTAATTGTTGTGAGTATTTACTAAAGGGGTGTCTTAGCATCGCAGTAAAAAAGCATGAAATTTGCCAAATGATGTGTTGGCATGTGCCGCCTCTGCGCACTTACGCGATTACTTGCACTATCTATGGATGACATTCCTTGCAGAAACCCAAAACCGCTGACCTAATTGCCTAATAGTCTGTAAAAATACCCAACTCCTTATTCCAAAATAATGCAAAATCTCAGCGCTATTTAAGACAAGATGATTCAATTACTTCCGAATCCACCGTTGAAGCAGATGATGTCGAAACTGATGGCAAGCCCTTGATTAGGCATGTGACAAATGCAATGATGATTGTTTGCATTGCTTTTACACCTCTGCACTTAGAAGCACGAAATTTTGCATGAATTATTTTCTTGCGCAAATCCGAGTCAAAACAGAGTTATATGTGTTATCCGCTACCTGAGGCATCTTAGTCGAGTAAAGGTGGGAAAATCGGCTAATAACTCTCGTAGCTTATTTGCAGTGCAGATTAATTGGACAGAAACAAATGGCTTGACGTTGAAAAGCAATGCCAGGCAGTGCCTATCACTGCTCATCATTTTTCTTCTGCGTCGGTGAGAACGAGGAAACATTGCCTTATGCCCGTTTTGCTGACGAGATCTTCACGCCAATGCGAGTCTGCTACCAAATGACACTCAATCACCGACCCTTCATTCTGCTTGGTCACAAGCTATAGACATTTTTCTCAGTTGGCTGGCCTTATACAAGTGAACTTTATAGTCCATCTACCAAGGCTTGTTTGTTCATCAGGAAGCTTAATAATTAGGCTTACCTACGGGAGTGCTCGCGCAGCTCACTGACTCGACTCACCCAACCCAACCCTAGTCAACGGGTAGTTGACGTTCGATATAAACCCTTGTGGTTATCTAGCGGTAGAGGTATCCTGAGCCTTCACTTTCATCAGCACTTGTGCTTTCAGTTTCCCTGTCATATTCATTTTCGTCTCTTTCAGCTCCTTGTGTTGCTCCATTTCTTGTAATTTACTGCCCTGTCATGAGACAAATTTGTGGATTCTACTTGTCACTTCTTAGTCAGTACCCCCTGTTTGTGTCACGAAGGCAAAGGCCAACACGTGTAATACAGCGACAAGTCATTTTAGTTGACCATAGAATGAGAGAAATCGTGAGAGTGAACATCCTTTACATGTTGACTGTCTACTGGGAGTTAATGTACGTTGGCGACTCCCACGAGCGTAAACCCGGACATTGCCTTCTACTTCACCGGTTGCTGCTTTCACTGCATTGTTCCGTTTGACACATCCCCCTGTTTCGTGTATGCAGATGTGACTTACGAGTCTGGCGACACAAGAGACGAGTCTCTTCTATCTAACGTGACGCTTTCTAAAATCGGGTTGGCGAAGGACGTCATAGGAGGAGGTGGGGGAGAATTAGCTTTGTGTTTGGAGGAGGTGGATTTGACCGAGGCCTAATGGAGGCAGAGGTGCGAGGTATTCTGGCGTCACCACATTGCAAGGAATAGGTTAAAGTAAAGGAGAAAATGTACATGGAATGCAGTATAGGGAGCACATCTTCTACACTGGGTGGTAGCAGGGGTGGGGTATGCACAGTAGGGTATAATGCAAGAGTCAGCTCTTGAGAGCATAGATAGTAGTAGTAGTAGGAGGAGGAGGAGGAGGAGGAGGAGGAGGAGGAGGAGACACTCACTGAAGAGACGTTGAAGTGGGGCATATGAAATGGGAGGATAACAAGGTGCCTCCTGCTCCACCGTTTCGACGACGTAAGCAGACCTCGTTGCTATATGCGTACATTGATTCCTAATATCTACGCCAGAGAAGAAAAAGGCCCCATTGTACGTAGCCTAAGTTCTATCGAGTCGATTTGGCGTGCCAACCGAGGAAGTGGCGGGATCACCTCAAACGGACGAGCATGGTAGCAGCTATGAGGTACGCATGATAGAACAGATAATCCTATCAACCTATCTTATCCTATCCTCTTGCTAAGGAGCCTCATC